TCAATAATTCCGTGTGCACTAGCCTCTATCTGTTTTCTTCCCGATAGGGAGTCGACATTAGTGGTACGGGTCCAGAAGAGTTAACATCCCCACCAGTTGTTTGGTTGGCGCTGACAGGAATGTGTTGGATAAAAAAATCATCGGTGCCTTGTGATGCCCATGACTTATTAATCTGCCTATTGTTTGGAGACATTTTAAGTGACGTTACATGGGTTTAGTTATATGCATTGCCGCACTGTGGTTTCATTCCCAGAAAACTTGTTCCGTATCATCTGCCAAAGTTAGTTTGTGTGTCATACTTTGAAGACTCCAAGTGTTTGGTGGCTGAGCTCTGAGTGTTGTCACTTGTACTATTTTGTGTGATAGTGTCACTACACCAGCTACTAGTGTGGACTGGCATAGCATGCAAGCGAGTTGTGTCGTTATTGTCCGTGGAACCTATGGCCTTAGTTGTGTTTTTAATTTAGTTGTTAGCATAGTTTTGTATATTACTTACCTTACAGCGTGGATTCTTCTTAGGAGTTTGAAAATGTTGGGGATTTTTCGTAACAGGTGGTGTATTTCGACATGTTTTGTTCTTGAGTTCCATTTGAATTCTCACGCTTTGGCTGGAAGAGGATGTTGTTGGCTTACAAGAGGGATTGCTTTCTGTCTTAGGGCTATCCAGAGACATATCTAGACCTACGGTAGAAGGGTTACTTTAACGTAAGATCATAATTCACATAATTCACAAGTCTTTCATTTGGTTTCGTGTTCTGTGGAGCTATTTTTGTGAGATTTTAGAGGGGGAGGCTATAGATTCTACCGCGTTGCCGTGTGTTTATCTACTTTGGTGACTTGCTGTGTCTTCTCTTTCTTACTATTAGGTTTAGTGAGGTGATTGTAAGCACGCCTTTGAATCACTGTCTTATCCGCTACAACTTTTATTTGTTTGTAGCTCGTGTCCTGTAATAGGATACGTTGTGTGTTGGTGAATTTCTTAGCCTCTGTCTGTGTTTCAAACTGAAATCGTATATGGCAGCAGTGGTCATGCTGTCTCTTTCAGTCTGTGACACTTTGTTTGGGGGTTAGGTATTTTCGCCACCTTAAGTAAGATACTTTGAACCTTTTTTAACCCCTCATTATCTGGAATATTATAGACTATCACATTTAGTTTGGTATCTAGTCTATTGACAATCTCAGTTGTTATGAAGTTTATTAAGGTGTCTACCTTAGTTACTGACTCTGTGTTAAGTTCGCCAGGGTTTATGGTCCTAGTCAGGATATTCGGAGGTGCAAGTTCACAGACCTCTGATTTGATGTCACTAAACTGTGTTGATAGTTCAGATATGCTGGCCACATTTTCTGAACATCCTGCATTCATAGCTTTACTACGCCTTATATCCCGCATCTCAACCTGCGGCTCTTCTACAGACAGCTTTAGTCGTTCTATTTGTGAAGTAAGTGTTGAAGCTTGACTTGGCATCTGAAGTTTTGTGACACGTACATAAGGTGTAGTGAAGAGGTATATGTCATTAGCAGGTGCTGAGTTTGCAGAAGCGATGCTACTGCTAGTTGTCTGCACACTTTTGCTGTCAGTTCTAGCCACAGTAGATGGTAGTGACACGGAAGTTCGACGCTGATCAACCATAACTAATTAGTGAAAGAGTTATTGGTTACAATTATGGAACTGGAGAAACACGTGTGAGTCTCACAGTGAAAGTAGAAATATATAGCGATCAAGCTAAAGTGTGACGCAAACGTTGAACGTACCGGTTACAGTTTCTGCTTGTTCCAGATTACTGAACGTCTGCCTTACCTGGTTGGTTTTGACATCTTAATCGGTCCTCCTGTAGTTAAAACAGGCTCAGTGGAGAGATGACTAATAGTTTTAATAATAACATTTCTGAACTATTAATATCACTTGATATCTCCTGAGTTAGTAAAACTATTAATCAAGTTTGGCCGTTTACCAGCTTTCTTTTTGATTCGCAATTCAGAATGCCTTGTCGACGAGTGCTGGTGTATTTTATGACATATTAGAAACATTATTTATGTGAACTATCTTGACGAGAAGTGGTTAAAAATATATTTGTAACGTATGCATGTTTTATATTCTCATCAAGTGGCATTTCTCGTTATTCAAGGAATTCACGGACTTATGTTACTATTTATTCTGGCCACCTTAAGATTGCATCAAACACTGCGTGGTTGGGATCTCCAGGATGATAAAAGCTTCTGTGTGTGACATTATTCAAAATTGTCCACAACCATTCAAAGGTATTCACTCCTTGTACTCATCTAGATTCTGAAAATCATCATTCGATTGTTCCTTATGCCCTTCATCTCCGTGTCTTTCCTCTACTTTCCTGTTGGGTTTTACGGTTGATCTTTTCCGTGTGCACCGAGATATATTCAGCAACTAGTCCAATTAGTCTGATGTAGCCTCCCAAATAGGTCAGGTGGTCAACACTTTGACCTATTTAGCTACCTGTCCTCGGACTTAGAGTCGGAAAAAGTTAGTTCGCAGGACCATCTGACAGTTGGTGGGGAAGATTTTCATGGTGAACAAGTTTAATATTTCTCTTAGGGTGCACAGTAGGCCCCCCGTTTGTCAGCATCTTCACCATTTATTTACCTATTTCTAACCTTATAAGTTGGTATGTACACCTATCTACACAGATATGGAGCAGCAATGAAGAATTCCTATTAGCTGGTATTTTAAAAAGTGTAGTCAGCAGGTCATCGTCACTGTTCCTATACAGCTCCGGAGAAGTATTATCGAGTCCAGTGGCTTTGCCTCACTTTAGACTCCAGACAACTGTTGTGACCGCATGTACATTTGGAAAACTATTATGTTGCTCCTATTCAGATGGTTTGTATGGAAAGCAAATTTAGAATGGCTACAAGATGGGGAAGCAAGCTATCGAAATGTTTCACTCAGATACTGTCTCCTCAGAAGTTGCCGGGGTTAATTCCTTCCGGAAGATCATCTCATTAACAAGGCCTTTTAGAGTCCGTTTCTTATCTTGTCCTTTCTGGTCCTCTTTGGTGAACATACAATGCCTTTTTAGGGGCTCAGAAACAGGACAAATTAGATGAAGGAACGGAATGATCAGGCATTACTGTCTTGTATGACTTCACAGTCGGATCAAGAAACAACCATCAAAGTGTTCACTTCCTGAAAATAAAACGGCAGTCAGTGGATCTTTGCGAGGTATAACAGTAGCAGCCTTAGGCATGTGATGCTGGAGAAGGACTCAGTACATTTCTGCATCAATCCCTCGATATCGAGCAGAGAAACGTAGGGAACGGATTGTTAGGCTCCAGACTGACATCTGATAATCATCCACCAGAGGAATTAGATCATGTGGAGATGTACATACTCAGGATTAGTCCAGGGCAACACGTTTAATAGACGTGGAAAACAAACTATATTTGTTTCAAAATGATGTTAGAAATTTCGGCGGGCCAAGTTCTAGTACTTTTACATACTTATTTTTATCCTGCAGATTCATTTTTTCTTACCATCTCTATATTGTTTTCAAGTAAGTGGCAACGCGGAATGTCATCTGATGGTTTAAACCTTTCTGAAGAACAAACGATAATCTTGATTAGTTGAGCCACTACAATATATACAAATTCTTGTGGAGAAATAACTGAATGCAATATATAACCGCGACGTTATTAAATTAGTCAACTGTTTTTTAAGCTAACCCTCCTTAAACACAAAGTTCATGGCTTCATGATGCTTGCTAAAGTTTTTCAGTTTCTTCGAGAGATTCAGCACCTTTCTCATAATCAGTCAGAGTTCCATAACACAGCCATGTTTCTTGAGGTATTTACATCTAATTTCCATACGTCAATCCGTAGTTAGTGAAAGATAGGTTTTAATTTTCATACTGTTAATATGGCTAGGAAGCAGGTTTTCTTAACCGTGATGTTTCAGGTATAATCAAGGTTGTTTGGCCAGCTGCTGAAGTGATTATATAGTATTTTGGTATAACATCATATCTACATTGTAGTTCGGTGTCATCGAACTCCATGCTTAGACGGATATAGCGAAAACCGATAGTATCTTCCAGTTCTAGAAGTCATTTTGGGGTAGAGTTAATGAGCCTCTTCCGTTAACAGTCTGCGCTTACAGGGTTCGAGGTCGCTTCACTATAAGCAGAGCTTTTGGCGATCCAAAGGAAAAACTCATCCCTGACTTTTGAAGGCGCAATCACATCATTCTAGTACCACTAAGATCTAGGTCTGCATAGGATCATTACCAATGCAAAGTTTTCTCAATACCGGTCAAGTGTTAAGATATGGCAGCAAAAGTTTTCAATGACATGACCAATCAAGTTTCCACCTTTATTGTTCAATATTTGCCTATTTTCACAAGCGTTATATGAAGATCCTGATGATATATACAGCCTTTAATTGTGGGGGTCGTATTATAAGCGATGATGTAAGTCAACGATGTAAGCAAGTTCTCGAATTCTGAGAAATAATCCCAAGCAGGACTTGGTGACAAAACTGCACATTAGAGAAAAATTAATCAAAATATTTGTGCTTCTCCACTATAGACGAATGGTTGATATCTGTAGACGGGATCAGGGGAATACAACAAATGTATTTCGGATAAATCATGGGAATGATTTACATCTGATCACTATAGCATTAAATGACAACGCAATGTAGCTTATATTCTGATGTACGCCAACCAACTTATTCTAGATACTGAAATATTCCTGTAAAGTATTATGCAAGGAAAGGGTGGAAGTTATTATGAATGGGTTCCATTGCACAAATAGACAAAAAAGTTTATCTAGTGGGTTGCAGAGGTTTTTTGGTCATCAAGATAAATCGAAGGAAATGAAATAATTTGGATGATCTTAACTGATGAAGAAAAACGTATACTAATTGATTTTCAAACTGTCGTTTTACTTTTTAATTGGAAATTGATTCAACTACCTGCGCAACTTTGTCGTGTGACCTTGAAGGTCTGAACTAACTTTTTCTGCGTAAGCAGAATGAGGCAAGTGTAATTTTATTCTAATAGAAGTAGTTGTAGGCATTATGTCTGCTTTATGCCAAGTATAATTAGTCTGGTGTGTATATATGTATACATGTATTAGGCTTAGTAGTTTAAACAGTTTAGGTTTCGAAGAATCATCAGGAGTAAATTTCATTCAATATTTTAGGCACTCTTAATTTAAGAATGATACTTTGATGCCGGTTTTATCCCACACATTCCTTTTTTGCAACTATTCTTTGACTTAAAACTATCTTGCAAACCATAGTGATTCCACTATTTTATATAGTGTAGATATTTACAATTATGTTTGGATTTAATGTTTGGTTCTTTCCCCGTAGTAACAGACAGAGTCGTTGCAATTCCCTAACACAGGGAGTGACTTTTGAATTAAATGCCTTGTCTTCCTTGAAATACACTGAACACCACGAATCAGTATCTAATTGGTTCTATTATTAAACTCACTTTTAGATGTACTTAGGTAGAGATGGGAGAAATACACTTTGTTCTGTACGTGAACTACATAGATACTTAAGTATCGGGTAGTGGGGATACAGAACAGCTGCACGTCTCTAAATATGACGTAGTATCTTGTTGACGGGCTTGTATTAGACTTGAAATTTCTTGGTGCTCACATCGTGTTAGTACGTAACGGCTGCAGCTTTTCTCGATTTCCAGTTCAAACTGTTTCCCCGAATCCTGCAACTGTACTAAACACAACAAGCGGAGATGCATTATTTTACTTTGGACGGAATTTATGGAAATAACAGAGGAAACTGGTAGAGTTAGAGATAATAGATAGACCAGAATAAAAGTGAGGTATATAAAAATAAATGGGATATTTTTAATGCCAATACAGCCCACTTTTATTCAGACGTGTCTAAGGTATGCTGTAAATTCTTTGCCACAGAAAAATCTGTTGCGAAAGACTGACCTTTCACAAAGTTTTTTTCAGGTTGTTTTCATGAAATACTGAGTGTAGTTTCGGGCTTACTGAGGTTTATGAAAACTTTTGTATTACCATATCCGTTAGCTGGTGTTTACTGCGAAAAGCGAGGTGGTAATAAAAATATTATACATAAAAAACTAACAGCAGAAGTCTAGGACCTTTATCTCCAATCAGACTTCAGCAAAACCTAGTGATTATCTTCAGTCTCAGCCTAGTTGACTAACGCAAAACGACATCGCTACTAGTCCTGATTACAATACGCAAAGTAAGTTGGTAAAAAATTTACTATAAGTATTTGGGAAACGTGACAGCACTGAGAGGTGAGTGATTCAGGAAAGAGTTCGCGATATTATGGTAATGTTCTCATCGTATGGTTACTGTCATCTCATAAAAACTGGGAAACCTCCTTACATTTCCTATCACAATGAATCCATATTAGAAACGGACGAAATAAAGTACATAAAGGTTCTGGTTACAATAACTACTGAACTGTATTCTCAACGTTGCACCTTTTCACAAAACAGCTGCATTTCTTGAAGCAAACATAAAGGTAGAAACAAAAAGTACCTAAGAAAATATGATAGAAAGGAATGCATTGGTGAAAGGATAACTTCATATAGAATTATTACTATTATAATTCCCCTGAGTTCCGAGGGGAACATATGGCTGGCTTCAACAACACACCCCCCACTTTGTCCTATCTTCTGCCGTCCTCTTCAGCTGGCTCCACGGTTGCTCATCATCTGTCATTTCTTCCTCGCACGATCTCCTCCATGTCACTCTCGCACCGACGACCCATTCGTTCCTCACTTCCATTGGGATTCCACTCGGGTGATGCCTGCATTGCACGCGATGTCATTCCACAGTTTGTTCAATGTATGCCGAGTCAATCCATCTCCACTTTCTCCTACATATCTGTTCACGGATCGTCTCTTGTTTGGTTTGTTCGTTGCCAGAGTTTCTTGTTACTAATTCTTCCTGACTGGCTGGCCATTTGATCTTCAGTATGGAGAGAAGGTAGCTGTATCCAGCTCCTACTCATTCTTAGTGTCTCGAGGACGGTAACCAGGTAGTCTACGACACATACTACTGCATTGCTCAAACTAACAGTTAAGACCTTAATGGATTAATGACATTTAACACGATAATACATGCCATATTCACTCCATTTGATAACACTATCAAACAAAAGAATGCTCAAGGGTTCGATTCAACACTCATCCCTGACTCACTCTTTGTCTTTTTCTCTAATAATTTTCTAATACCTCCCATAATGAATTCTACAGATTGTGTGGTAAATATGGGATCAGATCAAAAGAAAATCCGAATTTCAAGAATGCAGTTGAATCACCACCACAACCACCACCACCATCTTCTATAAGCACTTGTGGATGTGTCTGTGGAGAAGGTGTATCAGACAAGACATGTCAACCCACTCTGAGTCAAAATGAACAATTCCCTCTCCCAGACGCTCGCGACCTTCATCATCCGTCTTCTACACACTCATGGCATAAATCAGTGAGATACAAACTGCTTTCTACTATTTTATTTTTTTATGTGTGTATAAAAATTGATTGCTGAGTACATTTCTTCATTATATATTTAGTACTCGAATAAAATGACAAATATTTCCCCTTTTACCTTGTCCCACCAATAGCCGTTAGCACTCATCTTCACATATCAAAAAGTAACATACGTGTTCGTAGACATAAGAGAGCTATACAAGGAAACTGGACTGAACTGAATAGTGTAGAAGGGTATAAGTGTGCAGAAAAAACTGATGTAGTTTAAGCTGCCGAATTCGTTTCAATGAATTGACTGTTTTACCCACTCGAAAGTTTTCCTAAGGCAGAAAAAACTCGTCGGTAACGAAATGTTGACAGAAAATATGATTGTAGATATCGCCAGCACTTGAAATCATCGTCCATTTGTACATAGATCATCAAGCAATGTCATAAATCTAAGTATCATTCCATCAATTGGTCAACTTTTATTCAGTACAGTGGGTGGCGGGGTGGTCGGTCATGGAAACGAAGAGAGCTCTGTGAAATTGTGTGTAACCCCGTTTCCCTGAGACTTACTTACACTGTCACAATCGAACCTGATAGAAAACTCTATCTGGTGACATTTTTTACCGTGAGATAGTCGGTGGACTGATCCCAAGAGTGAATTGAACCAGCAAGATGTTAGAATATGTGGGAGGAGGAGGAGGGTAGTATAGTTTGATAGATATGAGGGGCTAATAGTAGTAACTACCTTCAAGTAGTCAGTCATGACTGAATTATTGAATGACTCTCACTCTAATGGAGAAGTGGTGCTATATTGACTCAATCGATTTTCAACTGCAGCAGGATTTTCTTTCTCAGATAACAGGATATCTCAACTCTTCTAATTCCTAGTTTCAGGTGGAGGCAGTCAGAAAAAATGTTGACCCTAAAAATCCTCAGCTGATTTGCAATTCTAAAACTTTTCAAGAATCAGATGAGATTCTGCAGAATCTTACACCTTTAAACAGGCCACACCTATGACTGTCTCATCAGGCAGAGATATTATTACATGAAGTACACAAACCCAAGCAACAAACCAACCAACTAAACTAACTCACTTTCTCTTTTGATTACAAAATACGGCAGACACTAACCACCTCTGATAGTGTTACACGGTCCGAGAAGTAAAAACACCAACGTTAAAAAGCCAACCAATTTGCCTATTTGTGATTATATACTCTCTTCATTTTTGCTTCTATTACTTCATACTGCTTAAACATGGCCCATGTTGGCGCCCTCAAGTACAGCTGTTACTGTTGTCTCACACCATGCGATTTGCTCCCATCAAATGTAAGATGATGAAGCCATAGGACTGACTGAACTACATTGACTCCTAGCTTAAAGATAAGCTGCAGCGAAGTGGTCTCTTTTTTGCATTTCTTTTTACTTTCTCCTCTTGCTTTGTGTGACGACTTGAACTGCTGCTGGACATCAGTGTAGAGTTCTACGTTGAAAACAGTTAGTCATTCAGACAGTCAGGATTTGTTTCTGTAAATTGAAGTGAATTGTTTAATGAGCTATATATTATTCTCATTCAGTATGATAACTTTTGTTTTCCTGATGTATTTTTAACAAAAGTTGTTTCTCTACACTTTTTTAAAATAATCGTTTCCATATATATATGATTCTCACACCTTCATTTAAAGTTTTGAATCAATCAACTGGCCTAACTGACAAATAATCACCATCGCTCGACTAGTGTACGTCTGTGTTTGTATGTAATGACAATTAGTTTAGATGCCAACTTTCATGTACACTTAAGGTGATTTGAGTGTTAACGAAAAGTAGCGATTCTGAATATATGAAATCAGGAATTTGGCCATTTTTGATATATTGAATTGTAAGTTCTACTGCTGGTCATATGAAGCTTAAAAAACACTAACCAGTTAGTTACAGGATTTCATCATGAGCTGACATTGGTTGGTTAGAGAACCATTGGAAAACCTGCCACTGAGAGTACTGCCAGATAGCCAACTGTTTCGACAGCCTAGTTCGGGACTGGCTCTTCATCAGTACGCACCCACCCAACCGCGGTTTGAACCCAGGGCCTTCTGTTTTCAAGGCGAGTTAGCCCGTAGACCATTGAGCCACTCATTAGGACCGGATCCAATGGCCCATGAATTTCAACTTCTGCCAATTCATGACATAGCGCGACCGCTAGCCAATGTCATCGGTGGCGAGTATTTGTCCTCACACCAGACCTGCTCCATCCTACTGGTCACAACGTCCCACTACAACCTGAATAGGGCCAGTCGGTAGTGGGCATCTCATTGATTTTCAAGTATTAGTTTTGTAGGGATGTTTTCTTTGATTGGTTACAGGATTTCATCATGAGCACTGACATCAGTTGGTGGTTAGAGAACCATTGGAAAACGAGCCGAAGGGAGTAACGCCAGACAGCTGTTTCCTCCGTCCTAGTGCTTGGGACTGGCTCTTCAGCAGTACGTACCCGCCGCCAGGGGTCGAACGCAGGACCTTCTGGTTATAAGACAAGCAAGCTCGTAGAGCATTAAGCACCCACTCACTGTAACCCTATCCAATGGCCAGCCAGCCAGTCCATGAATTCTAACTTCTGCCAATTTATGCATGACCACTTCAGTCGCAATATCTTCTTCGATGAGTTACTGCCTCACCCACCGTCAACCTGCTATTCCCCCCTACCCCAGGTTTTTCAGTGGTTCTCTAACCGACCGATATCAGTGCTCATGATGAAATCCTTCAACCAATAAAATGGATAGTGTTTTTTTCTATGGAGTAACTTTCAAAGAATCTTTTAATTTCCGTTTATTTATTTTTTCCTTTTTCTTTTTGGTAGATGAAGAAGAGAATACATCGATCTGTTGGTTGTTTTGGATTCAAACGCCCTCCACTTTCAAATACAACATTCCCCCATGAAAAGGTAGAATGGGGAAATGGAACAATTCCTGACTACAATTTAGAATGTCAAAAACTTGTTAAAACTCAACAGGCACCAATATTTCCTAATAATCATATATGGAATGATAGTAAGTATACATGTATTTGATGACATTAAAACCTTAGCGCTGATAGTTGTTTTTTTGGCTTCTTTGGGAGATAAGCCAGACTTTATTTTTTTATAACAGCTGAGTTCACTTTATTCTGATTATCAAATGATCAGAAATGAGAACCATCAACTAAGGGAACTCTGGTATGCAGTGAACTAACCAAGAAGCTAATGCAGCCAACCAATTAATCCACAGAAGAAAGTGGAGATAAGCTGGACATACGCTTGGAGAACGTTGATTGATTGATTGATATCTCATGTCAGCCGCTAAACCTTGACTAGAAAGTGAATGCGGGAAACGATGAGTTGACCGTATAGAGGCAGTCATGGATCCAGATAGAGACAACTGCAGAAAACAGGATGAAATCGAGATGCGCTGTTGAAGCCCTATCTTCCACGCGGAACTCAACAAGAGTAGTAAAAATAATAATCTCCACTCGACAATTATTGTTATTATTGTTTCCTGTAATTCCTAGAGGAACATAGGGCTTCAGCAGCACGTCTCCATTGCGTGCGTTCGGGGTTCTCTGCCAACCTTTTCTCACCTGGCTCCACGTCTGCCCACATGCTGTCATCTCCTTTTCACACGACCTCCTCCCCCATGTTGCCCTCACACTGACGACCAGCTCGCCGCTTCCCATTCGGGTTCCACTCGACAGAGAGAGAGAGCTTGGCGTGTGATTTCACTTGATGGCTTGTTTTCTCAGAGTATAGCCACAATCCAATCCACCTCCACTTCTTCCTGCTTATTTGTTGCACAATCGGTTCCTGGTCGGTTCGCTCCCAGAGATCCCTGTTGCTGATGTTTTCTGGTCGGCGACTTTACATTGGAGTTGAAAATCCGGATCTTATTTTTCATGCTGAGTGCTGTTGACCTCCACTCGACAATTAATGTAGCATATTTGAGGACACCAGATCATCACAAGAATGTATAATTACATCTATCATTGTGATGAAACAGTAGTAATTGATTCTGTAGCACGCCACTATCGAACTACATAACAGAACATCATACATAGTTTGAATGAAAGTCATATATGTGCAAACCAAGTTCACTTTTAACAGTTTGAAAACATTTGGTCACTGGGCATATGATATATTCACTTTTATTGAAAGTTTTTTTGTATTTCCCAGTGAATGAATGAAAAACAAAACTGTATTGCTGTCGTTTTTACTGACGTTTCGCTATTTAATGCTGCTGCTAATAGCTTTATCAAAGTATTATTTAACCAGAATTTTCAAAATCTTAACTTATATACAGTAATTTTCAAATATTGGTTTTCTAGAGAATTTTTTGATTGGTTGGAGGATTTCATCATGAGCACAGACATCGGTTGGTTAGAGAACCATTAGAAAACCTGCAGGGAGTACTTCCAGACAACCGTTTCGTCCTAGTTTGGGACTCTTTGGCAGTTCGTAACCATCGGGTTTCGAACCTAGGTGGCTTAACGAGCTCGCCTTGTAACCAGAAGGTCCTGGGTTCTAATCCTGGTAGGTGTATACCGATGAAGAGTCCCAAACTAGGACGAAACGGCTGTCTGGCAGTTCTCCCTACAGGTTTTCCAATGGTTCTCTAACCAACTGATGTCAGTGCTCATCATGCAATCCTACAACCAATTGTAAAAATCAATTTTGTGACCTGATTTTATAGCGTGTAGACGACCCATCACTGATGATTTTTCAAGCTTTTCTAGTTCAGCTGGATTTCTTGGTGGTCGAAAAAATGCTCCATACTGTTCATTTATTCTGATCTTGATTTCTGTCTAGCGATGTTTGTGCGATGTATATTATCCCATCACATTCCAAACATTTTATTTTATAGACACAATTCGATTGAGAATCCTTAGGGATTTGGTCTTTTCTTTGGATAAGGTTGTTTATAGTGTGTGTGTGTGTGCATGTCTGACGTTCTGAAGAAAATTCTGATGTTGAATACTCTTCTGATATTTATCGTCTGACATATCTGATATGGCACTGGTAGTTGATTTTTTTGGCTTCTTAGAATGTAGGTTTCAATATTTTTAAATTTTATACACATATTTTGATTTGTAAATTTCTCTGTGGGGCTAGATAAGCGAGTAATTGTGTTCCCCATTGACTTGAAAAGATACAGGTGTGAATCCAACATATTTTTTTAGCTAATACAAAATCGACGAGAATGCAAAAGGAAATGAGTTCTAATGAGGTTCTTAATCAATATATAAATACTCACAACCATTTAATATTAAAGAATTTAATCCTTAAGGAATAGTGTTAGATCGTGTAGGCTGAGCCACTTCACTGTGCGTTGGTGGCACAGCGCTGGAATGCTCGCCAACCACGCAGGTAGTACCGGCCACCGATGAATGCTTTTACCTTGCTAAGCCAGTAATAAGAGGGAAGTTGGGGGCATGAGACTATCAGCAACTGCATTCTGTAAAAATTAATATCACTGCTACCGAAAATTGAAAGGTCTTGTGTGAAGCCACTTCACAAATTATGTCTCTGAGGATGTAGCTGTAGAACGTGATGATGATGAGCACGTTATCAAAAATGTGAATATTCTTTGTTCAGTAACCATTCTTTTGAAAATTTTAATAGGTATTTTTATTCGTAGAGAAGTCAGAGGTGATGATGAAGATTTCTGGTCAACAGCAACAGCCACAGCAAAACAACAGACAACAATCAGAATGAATGGGAGAAATCTGAAAGAAGCAACCTCCTTCACCTTCCTACATACCTACCTACCTGGAAAGCATCGTTTCAACTACAGGCGGAAGGAACTGATGAGGATATCATCAAAATGAGGATCGGGAAAATAAGACAAGCTTTCATTATTCACATCAAGTTTGTTTGGAAATGAACAGCACTCCTCAGCATGAAAAATAAGACCTGGATTTTCAACTTCAATTTAAAGTCAGTGCCACTATATACGGATCAGAGACTTCTCGCTACGCCTTGCGTTGCCGCGTCACGAAGGCCACTTCAAACAAACTACACACCTTCAACAACAGCTGCCTTCGCTCAACACTTTGGTCGCTCAAGATCAGATTACCGGCCAGAAAAGAGGAGCATAGGGATCTGTGGCACTAAATCAACGAACCGACCCAACCCAACCCAGCAGGAACCAATTGTGCAAGAAGAAATGGAGGTGGATTGGATTGAATTGGCCATACTGTGAGAAAACAAACCACCAAGTGACTAGTGACATCACACACCAGGCTGTCTCTCTATGTCTCTATCGAGTGGAACCCGAATGGGAGTTAAACAGTGGGTTAGTTGGTCGTCAGTGAACGAGGTTGACATGGAGGCGGAGGAGTTGATACGAAGAGGAGATGGAAGCATGTGGGCAGATGTGAAGCGAGGTGAGAAAACGTTGGTGGAGAACCTCGAACGCAATGGAGACGTGAGGCTGAAGCCCTATATTCTTCTAGGAATTAAAAGAAACAATAATAATATACTGTGATTTTTGCTATGATAGTTCAACGCTTTGCCATTTTTTCATTAAAAAATTTTTATCTGTTTTTTTGAACAAATGTTCTATTTTTAATTCTACCACTTACTTACTTACCTCCTAGAAAGCTGTTCGTTTTCAACTGCCGCCTATTCAGCGAACAAATATGGTGTAGACCAGAGCGGTACAGCGGCGTATACAGCGTCTGATGATATCATAACCGGTGGTAAGACGACCGCCGTACCGGAATATAGTTACAACAAAACCTGTAGACAACGTTCCACAGATATTTTTAGTGCTTCTGTAAATTATGCTTTATCAAGGCCTAAATCCTGTTTAAATAATTCCGCTGATGTTCAACGACCACTAGAACATTACGAACAAGAAAAAATTGTTAACCCTGCTGTCGATTCAAACGCCAAGTTGGCGAAAATTGGAAACCAACTAGATGGCAAACTAGATAATAAACCTAATTTCCAGTGCAATAATAATCAGAGTTACAGTTCCAGTGATGCATTTAATAAAGATATTCACCATTATTCCTCAGCATCCTCCATACAGTACTCCAAAGAGTCTGCTCCTGTTGTTATCAATAAATGTTCAGAAGAAAAAGTAGTTCCTGAATCATCATTTCCTAATAATTCTTCTTCTATACGGTAAGTTCTGCAACACTGTATTGATTTTTATTTCTCCCTTCGATTGCTTATATTTTTAATACCTTTTACAAGTTTGACCACGGATTGATTGATTGATTGATAACTCAGTTAGAGAGGTATTGAAAACCACCAGCTGGGGGAGTACTGCCAGACAGCTGTTTCATCAGCCCCTAATTTGGGAATCATCGGGGCAGTACGCAACTACCCCACTGCCAGGATTCAAACCCAGGACCTCTCGGTTACACTCTTGAAAATTTTTGAAATCTCTTTTTGAGGGTAAATTCTTTTCTTTAAATGCTTATTATATTTATAATATAAGAGCAATAAAGTTCAGCGAAGAGTCTGTTTTCGCCGACGAATTCAATCGCATTTATATATCATTATTTTGTATGTGTGTGTACATTAGGATTATCAAACAGTCTGGAACGTTGGAAAGAAGTGTTATGGAGTGACCGAGTATAAATATGACTAACAAGATATAACGAACGATAACGTATTGCTTAGTCATTAAATAGCCCTGACCCGAAGATGAAAATTAGAAGACCCACACGTTCACGATGGATAAGTGTATTTTCCAACAAGGGAAATTACTTGTCACACAACAGTGTGAGTGGAAAAGTAGGAAGGTGTCAATTAACTGTACAACATAAGAGTATGTAGAAAATAACTAACATACATGATTTTCAATAGTTGGTTTGTAAGGATTAGATTTGTTTTTACGAGTTGATCACGGATTGTTATCAGTTGGAGAAGCATTGAAAACCAGGGAGTACGGGACAGCTGTTTCATCCTAGTTTGGGAATCATTGGCAGTACGCACCCACCATCGGGGTTCGAACCTAGGACCTTCCGGTTACAAGGCAAGCTAGCTCGTAGACCATTCAGCCACTCACTGGGACGCGATTCAATGGCTCGTGTATTCTAACTTCTACCAATTCGTGATTTAGCGCGACCACCGACCAGTGTCATCGAGGCGACATCCATCGTCACACTTGACTGGATGGACCTCACTGGTCACGACTTCTCACTGGAACTCACTCCAGGAAACTCCGTCCTGTAGCAAGTCACTAGCGAGCTTCAGATTAGTCGGGTCCCAGTGGCTGAATGGTATACGAGCTTGCCTTGTAACCGGAAGGTCCTGGGTTCGAACCCCACTGTGGTGGGTGTGTACTGCCGATGATCCCTAAACTAGGCTGATGAAACAGCTGTCTGAAAGTACTCCCCCAGCTGGTTTTCAGTGGTTCTCTCACTGATAACAATCCGTAATCAACTCGTAATAGCACACATGAACCAATAAGACAAATAGGTAGTTTTTTTTACCACCAACTGGATTCTTATTGGCTGCAATGTCATGTGATAAAGGTCATATATTGTTTATTTTGTTAATGGACAGACAAGATAGGAGGACTGTGAGTCATAATAGACTAACAACGATCAATAGACATGTAGCGAAATATATCAGACTGGCAAAACAATGCATACATCATGTGACTACATATCAAGGACACTTAAAGAAGCAAATTAATTGGCCTATAGCCACGCTTAAGTTCTTATATCGACGCTCAACTTACTTAGCATCCCATACCTACCTGGATCGGATATAGACACAGGTCCTCCGTCCCTAACTGAACTGAGGTTACAAAAGCTGTTACTAGTTTGAAATGAGGTAAAGCAGTGGGACCTGATGGAATAAGGTGTTGAAGGATGGTGGAGAAAGTTTACTGTCTACGTTAACTAAGGTATTAGGCAGCGTCTTGGAATCAGAGGAAGTCCCGTCGGGTTGGTGTAAGTCATTGATTATCCCGATATACAAGAAGGGAGACAAGTCATCCTGTGATAATCACAGGGGGATTAGCCTGACTAATATGGTATTAAAACTTCTGGGTTCAATAATCATCATGCGTAGACTAAGCGGTGCTCGGAGGAACAAACACGAGAGAACTACCAGGCAGGCAAGTTTTACACCAGGGAGAGGGTATAGTGATTGATTATATCTCACCCTTCGACAGATTCTGCAACGCAACATCGGCATAATTACCGTCGGCGTTCTACAATCATCATATTTCTTGACCTGAGGATGGCATTCGATTCTGTCGATCGAGAGGTACTATGGCGATGTTTGACTGTGAAGGGAATGCCGAGAAAATACATTGCACTGATCAAGGCACTCACTCTAACCGAGCTCATGAAGTCAGCCAGCCAGGTGAGAGCTTACGGAGTATTGTCATTTGACAACTGTGATGACAAACAGTGGTGGGTTTATCGACAGAAACATCAAGAAAGAAACCGTCCTTAGCCAAATCGCAGTACCGATGAAGACACCGTTTATGAGTTTGGTCTCCAAAGGTGACAGTATTTCTAAAGTAATCAAAATTTGTCTACCTACATGTATTAAATTCCCTTTTTATGCTGCTGACTTATATTTAGTATTTACTAGCCGAAATATGATTCGTCAAGGATAAACTATAGCTTATGTGCGTCCACCTCTATGTGCATATGCTCATTTACATGCTTGTGTGGAGCTGATTACATTGGACGTTGTAAGCGTAATCTCCATAAATGCGTAGCTGAACACTTCCCGCCCTCGGTTTAGTTAATGAAAGGTGAGCGAAGGACGACAAAGTCTTCAATCTGTGAACACCTTCTTGAGTCACGTCATTCAGCCCCCCCCCCCCCCCCACACCTGATTTATCCTTTAAAGTCATCTACACGACCAAATCCAATCTCTCCGAAAGCTTACGTTTTCTCCACTTACGCATAGCCGAAGCTCTAGCTATACATGGACAGAAACCTAAATTATGTATTCAAAAACGTTTTGTCAAACCCCTTTCTTCACCTCGGTCATAGTAACGTTCTTTTATTTCATTCTATTTAATTAATTCAATTCATTCCACTTCACTTTATCTTTGCCGTCTTTCATCACCGTTATCATTATCATCATACTCTGAATTTCTTAGAAAACACCTGACCTACAATTTTAAGAATATCTTTATACCAGTTCACTTATTTAATAGTCATCTTTGATAAAAGTTTTGTAATTCATCCACTTCAATCAACTCTGCCGCCCCCATTCTTCACCCTTAGTACATCATTTTAATTATCTTTATTCTTATCATCATATGTGCAATATTGACCACGCAGCAATTTCTAGTGCCACTTAGTAATGCTTTCATTTTCCGCTATATAAATACGACTGCTGTACAGCTGGCTGAAAATGAATTCGTTGAAAAGAGATAGTATTTCTTCTCTGAACAAAAAAGGATAACAACTGTGTTTTTCTTTATGAATTAATGGGGGTATATTTCGCGATTCGATGAAAATATCTGCCAATAACGGGTCTGAAGGTGAACGCATAGCCATACTATCTTGCTGTCTATTGTATTGATTGCATATGTGTCATGTTAGTCCTATTCATCGTTAAGAAGAACAGATTTCTGTTACCTAGTAACATTTTGCTAATTTAGTCAATAGGATAGTTTTGTGTCGTTTAACTCTCTATAATAATATTGTCTTCAGATAAGATTCGTGTTCTATTCGTTTGCTTTGTCTCTTTGTTGTTGTAGGCGATTACAACACATCAATACAACATCTGTTAAGTCTGTTAATCCGGAGTCGGCAGTTAATCCTTGTCATCCAGTAGCAGCAGTATCGCCTGATGTAGGAAATCCTGCTTATTTCTATTTAGCTAATGAACACCGAGAACTGCTTCAAGACGTACAGGCAACAAAAATTATTCTTTTACACTTAAAACGACTACTCATTGAGGTAGGTTTGTAAATATATAATTAAATTATTATTATATCTTTATTATTCATTTTAACATGTCAAAGCATTGCTAGCTAGCTAGCTATCTCATAGAGTAGAGTAGTAGTCCTTCGTCACGTGATTTAGAGATGCTTCTTAGGGGTTAATATATATATATATATATATATATATTGCTATTACCTATGTATCTATGATCTTGTTTGAATGTGTGTGTGTGGGGGGGAGTCAAAGGTTCTAAGGGTTGTGGTTAAGCACAAGCTTGAATGACCACCAGTTGTCCTCTTTAACTTGAATGAATGCCTTAGGAATCATGGGAAGGAAATTTGTGCAGCCTGTTTCACTTAAATAATTGTGTGTGTGCGTTGGTTGGTGGTTTAGCGGTAGGAATGCTCGCCGCCAACCACACCGCGTGTGGTTCGGGGTTCGATCCCCGGCCAGCCACTGACGCCACTCCTAAATCTCACTCAGCCGATAATAAGACTGGTGAAGAGGGAAGACTGGGGGCATGAGGCTAGCCAGCAGCAACTCCATCCCATAAAAGAAACATCAATACTACTGAAACTTCAAGCCTGTCTAGTTTTTGAAGGCGCCCTATGTGGGTTCCACACTGGGAACGTAAAGAAATAAAAGAAGAAGAAAAGAAAGCTGAATGTGACTCTCGTGTTTATCTGTCTTAGTCAGTGTACATATGAGGATATTTTCAAGTGATCGATTGATTGGCGTACATTCTAGTCAACTTAGACGGCAATCATCACAAGTTAGTAACAGTGACTGTCGTGTAAGAGAAGGGCGAAAATCAGCTAATGTTATATGACTTAACACACATACTATGCATATTAAGTTGACACCGAGTAATGAACGAAAAAGATGATGGTTAAAAGCATGCTTACTTGTTGGACTGTTGTTGCGTCTTCAGGTTTTTTGTCTTCTCGTATCCGAATGAATCGTGGGAATCTCAGTGAAATGCCTTTCTGTGGATCAGCCCGAATGTGATATGGAAATGATAACAGAAATAGTAATAATAAGAATAAGAATAATTGTAACAACTGGACAATCATAAGAATTAGATTTCTAATAATTCCTACATAATTCGCTTCACAAGTCTCAATATGGACTCATGCGTCAGGGTGCGTCGGTGGCAGCACAGCGGTAGGGAGCTCTCCGCAATCACGCCCCATGTGGTACGGGGTTCGATCCCCGGCCGACGACCACCGACGCGCTCCTTTACCTCGCTCGCTAAGCTAGGGAAGGTTGGGGGAGGAGGCATGAGGCTATCTAGCAACCCCACCACTGCTACAGAAACTTCACGCCTCTCTCTAGCTTTTAAAGACGCCCTATTCTCGTTCGTTCCACACTGGGAACGCAAAGGAATATCGGAAGAAAAATCCGATTGTCTAAATATTAAAAAAAAGAATTATAGACCATTCATCACTGTGATTCATTGTAACAATGTTTTCTTCTCTTTTTTTCTGTTTTGACAAATTGTTTCTAATTATAGACACCAGTTCCTGAAACAGATAGTCTTTCGTCTACTGCACCACTGAAGAAATATGACTTTAAAGATGTATCACATTCAGCATCTAGATTGCCTTCGTATTCCTGTTCTCAAAATGATAATCAGTTTCTGTTATCTTCAGATGGTCAATCATCATTATTATTATCATCGTCACCATCAATTTACACTAAGCCACCAGTCAATCGAACTGGACTTGAAGAGTTAATTGAAGTAATTTAAATTTCATTTTAAATTCATTTAATTATTTTTTTTAAATGAATCGAATTTTCTCCGGTCACTTTGAAATGATGAACCTGCTTTTATTTTTATTTTTAATAAATATTTTTGGTAAATATAAATATGACTGTACAGCCAGCTTCTGAAGGTGATATCGTCGATAAAGAAAATTTTCTTCGCTGAATTCGTCTTTAATTTTCTTCATGACTCAATGGGTATTTTCGCTGATATTCACTATTTATTTAAACATAAATCTTGGTACAATATGGCACCGAGAAGATGCACCACACATTCATAATAATAAAACAACATATGCGAATAAAAGTAAAAAACATACAGGTGGAGAACAGAAAAAGAACTTCATGCGGAAGGAAAACAGTCATATCTAAGAAGTTTAAACAGCGTTCGTCAATTGTCGTACGGAAAGCGCAGCACGACATTCGCCATTGCTGATTACGATTATTAGTCACACCCGGTAGCATTTCGAGCGATATATCTTTTGGACTTCAACCAGGGAGTCGTGAGGCACCAACCAATGCTAACCGAACACAAATATCCTTCATCCCACGACGCCACATCATGGGCTAACCACCTCTCCGCTTTTACCATCCCGTCCTACGGCTGGCTAGCTAACAAACAGAGACCTGTACGGAAGCCTCTGGGATGACATTCGCAGCACATGTCCCAGCCACCGACGACACTCAACGAATGGTGATCTCCACTGTGTTCAGACACACGCCACCGGACCTCAGAATTACTCACACGATGATATTGCCATCGAATGCAAGCAATTCTGCGGAGACATCAATGATCGAATACTCAGAGCCGCTGCATATCCTCAGCTCGGAGAGGCTAGATTTCACAGGCGTAGAGTAAGACAGCCCACACCGCAGCATTGTATACGTGATAGCCAGGCCAACGTCGCGACGGTGGGGCTCAGAGATGGCTCAAGTTAACGTATGTCACCCTAGCTTTCATGATACGGTTGGAAATCTCATACACCATACCTCACCTCCGTCAGCATTCACACAACTACCCAGATACACAGACTTATCAACAACTTCAAGCGGTTCACTTTGTAGCAAGAGTGAGTGGAGGTGAGTGAGTACAGGCTCCTGCCAATCTTGTAACAGTATTACTTTGCACTTAGACGGCGCCAGAGCACATACCATATTGTTAGCAGCATATTGTTAGATGAGATATCAACATGTTGATTATTTTTTTAACCAATTGTCAACGACATTCTAAACTCACATTGATGTTCTCAGGTTGTGCAGATACATATTGATGGCATGTGTTTTACTGTCTCTCATCACTGATGCCTCTTTCCCCAACATAATCTACACCTTGATTGTCGATGAAAAATCGTTTGACAAAACACACAACCAACATACATCTGTCAATTTTGATGAAAACTCAACGTGAAATTAGGGTAAGACAATACTCTTCATTTTTCCTGGCAAGATATCGCCTAGTTGTGTAGGTAGTTGAAATTCTAGGTCAACTTATAAGAAGTAGTAATTTTGTTTTTTAAACTTTTTTAACACGTTAAAATGAATGATCAGGGGAATTGTTTTTTCGTTGTTTTTTTGCAACATTAATTTTAGGGTCTTGCTCAACTCAACCATAAAAATTCAGAAGCTGTATGCTGCAGATAACACTGTAAGTATTTTGTGGTTGTTGTTGTTGGTTTAAAAAAATTTTTGGTCGGTTATTTTGAGTGAATTTATTATTGGGTTCCGAGTTTAACATCATAGGGCTGGCTTCAATAACACCACGTCTCCACTTTCCTCTATTTGCTGCCATCGTATTCAGCTGGCTATCTTCACGATTGCCTATAGTCTGCCATCTCCTCCTTGCCACACGATCTCCTCCATGTCGTCCTCGCACGGACGACACACTCATCCGTCGCTTCCCATTTGGATCCCCCTGGCACGCAATGTCATTCGATGGCCTCCTTCCTCAATGTATGCCCGATCAATCCATCTCCAATCCATTTTCTCCTACATATTTGTTGAGCGATCGGCTCTTAATCGGTTGGTTTGTTGTTCCACTACACAGTTTCTTGTTACTGATTCTTTCTGTCTGGCTAGCCATTTGTTCTTCAGTATGGAGCCAGCCAGTCAGCGAAGGTGGCACCTGTTGATAAAAGTCTTTAGTAGCCTATTGGAAATCCTTGTTGTGACACACTGGCCAAGTTTGTGACCCATATAGAATAAGTGACTGATTGACTTCACATTTGTGTTGAAAATGCGAATCTTGTTGTTTATGCTGCTGAGTTATTGCATAAGATTTCCAAGCTGGTTTCAGGTTGATGAAGGCGTTCATATCTTGCTTGTCATTCCGATTCTGGCTGGCTGGCTGACTTTGACATCTTCTTCATCCATGCCATCCACCTGTAGTTGAAACGATGCTGGAGCCTGGATAGGTGAAGGCGGGAAGTAACCTCTGTTAAATCTCTCCCATTGATGGTGATTGGTGCTGGTTATTGTTGATGTTGCTGTTAGTTGGTTGGTTATCTTCATCACTATGTCTTCTCTATGTTCACCTGGATAGAGTCCTATTTTCGACTTTCAGAGAGTTTGTTGGTTTTCGTCTTTAAGCTTTCGAGTTTATGTGACATTAGACATATATCATATAGGAGTAAAATCCAGATCTTCTAGAGTCTCCTAATCGGTGGTCCAGCGTATTCCTGTCTCCTCGCTCCCCACTAACAGTCTGGCGTATAATCCAGTCTACCACGATTAAGAATATCATCGGTGATAATAGGTAGTCTTGTCTTACACGTGTATTTACTTCGAACGCCTCTCTGAGTTTTCCATTTGTAAACCACCTGACACGTGACATTGTCATATAGCTGATGTTGAATGAGACTGATAAAAACTCCGCACTGCATGCCGTAGTGTTGAAGTAGTTTCCAAACTACTTCTCGGTCAACACTGTCTGTCGGATATAAGAATAAAACTTGGGCACTGTGGTAGAGTGTAATTCCATTATGGGTAAATTTTTATTTTGATAGAGTCTCACAGTGTTATACAGTAATATTTACTGAAATATTACTGTATAACACTGTGAGACTGTCTGCCGGAGGTCTTTTCAAAGTCGATGCAGTTAAGGTACAGATTTGAGTGTCATTCTACGCTTTGTTTTGTAATGATGACGATGCGTAGAGTTGCAATTTGATCAGCACATTATTTGCCTTTCCTGAATCCAGCTTGTTCCGGGTGATGGGGCTGGTGGGGTTCTGCATCCAGTGCATCTTTGATTCTCTCCAGGATGATGCAACTTAGTATTTTACTTGGCGTAGAGAAGACCATTATTCCACACTAGCCAGTTGTTGCAGAGTGAGGCCTAAGTCGCCCTCCTTTCTGTAGCTTGATCGCATTCAGGATTTCTGCCTTCGTTAGAGGATTGGTGTCCATTAGCAGGAGGTTCCGTGCATGCTGTTGGTAGTGGTGTATTTCTGGGCGAGTTGAAGGTGCTGGTCGATTCAAAAGTCCTTTAAAGTGATCAGCCCATTGTCTTATTTGTTTCTCCTCCTTGGTAATCAGGTTCTCTTGGACATCTTTTATTGTTTTCATCATCTGGGTTGATATGTCCCCGGATAGTGAACAGCCTGGTTATCTGAAATAATATCCTGAGGTCTCTCACTTGCAGCCTGCTTGTTCTTCTTCAATTGCCTCCAGCCAGTGTGTCGTAGAATCGTCTTTTGTGTTTCCTAGCATATGCGATCATTAAACCATCCAAAAAAACGCAATGAGTTCTTCGGAATTATCGCTCAACTGCCTGCCATCAGCCTTAATGGTTTCGAATACACTTCTGGAGACGTAATATGCACATTGCCCCAGTAAATCCTTCCCTCGAGGGCAGGAACTTACAGCATTGTGTATTACCCATGAAGTGACACCAGTGCAATATCTCAACAAGTACATCAACAGTACATAGCATCATGAAGTCTGAAACTATTTAGCATAACTGTAATCACCTTGAAAAAATAAGGATAGTCTACTAGATTCCCATAAAACCACTGTGGCTAAAATTTAAGTAACTTACTCAATGCATCTATTCTCCTTACGCGAAACCACATGGTCACCATTTTCATTAGACGTAACCTCAGACAACGCATCACAAACATGAAGCAAATCAGTATTATGTACATTTTTTTTCTCTGCCTCCATATATTGCCACATCCTTTCTTTTACTTACCCAGGCATTATTGAAAGTCGACACCGAAAGCCGATAATACTTGTAGAATGATGAAAGGTTGAAGACTAAGTGTAAGCACGAGTAGAATTGTCAACAGCTTTCTAGAGAACCAATAATTAAATCCAATCCACATGTGGAAGAACAATTGCCAAAAAGAGATCGATCAGGACTGACTGACTGGTTTCAATGTAGAACTTTGTGCCGATGTGCACCACTTCGAGTCGTCACACTCCTTCCATGTAGCACACAAAGCAAGAGAAGAAAGTAAAAAGAAATGCGAAACAGAGACAGTAAACAGAGATATGAGGCAAAAAGTATAGTAATATCGAAGAACCATGTAGTTTTATTGGATATTATAAGTCACAAGGAGTGGATGCATCTGCGCCATCATTGAGAACGATTTCGAGCCAGCCGCATATCACCAATTGTCTCCAGTCTTCATTGGTTTTCACCATTATGCGGACTACAACCAGCAAGTCAGGTAGACTACACCTCCCTACGTAACTGGCTCGCCGGCCGGCTGGCTTAAACTAACTGTTGTGGATTTCATTGACTGCTGATGAAGCCATGTTTTGGTTTGACCACCACCACCACTGGCTAACTCTTTTTCAACCTGATGCATCTGATGTCAGTCGCGTAACATTGCTCATTGTTAAGGAAGGCGATGGCTAGGAATGAGTGCGTAACACATGTCCTAACCATCTCTGTCAATCGGTGCAACTGCTTCACAACCTCGCTTATTGATTTCCTCTCCTTTTTACCTAGCACTTGACTGATGCCTCACCGTAATATTGCTCACCCTATTATACCACCGCTTCATATGGGATACAAAACGCAGACGCCTATGATGAAAGACAGCTAGCCAGCAAGGCTTTTCATTTCTTCCACTTGCAATGGTCATGTCTCACAGCCAGCCAGACAGCCATAATGGAGGACAGAGTGAACTGTTACTGAGCAGTGTACACACGTCCTTTGGTCGACAGCCAGTCAGGCGGATATTACTTCTACTAAGCCAGAGAGAGAGAGATGGCTTAAGTTGACTGAAAGATGCGAAACGATCCTTCTGTATCTGTGCTGAGATTTCATCATCGATCAGATCAACCGGCTGGGCTGATGCAACAGCTTCCCAAATAAGTGCATTGGTCAATACACTCCCACAACCACTTTACTCCTGCCTATCTCTAAGCCAGGGGTAATCGGTGTAGTCAACCAGTCTAGAGTCGTATAGCCTCATCATCTTACATTTGACAGCAGCAGGAGCCAATCCACATGCAGCTGATTCCACTCCCACCCCCCCCCACCATTGTGTATCCAGCTTTAAACAATCTGATGAACAGTATTGGCATGTTGATGGCGCACAGTAGGGGTTAATTCTTATTTACTCTTTTATTTTTTCTACAAAAATTCAAACAATATCATGTCATTCAAACAGTGTTAATGCCTTATTAATAATAGTAACAACAGCAATAATAAGTGTCAACACGCTCACGTTGTCTTGAATTCCTGAAGAAGTTTTCATGCCATATATATATATATATATATATATATATATATATATATATATACAAAAGTATAGGAATTTAAAAGTAAAAAAAGTTGCAGAAATCTATCCTATACCTGTGTGTTAATAGTTAATTAACTACTTAACTCTCTCTCTCTCTCTCTACGTACTCACTCTACATCACACGACTATCATTCATTCATCATGTGGTATTTTTTTTATGGTATTTTATGTCAATGAATCAATATACAATGTTCTTCCCACTCATATTATTTATGCTTGATCTCACATGTGTGTTGCTGCTGTTGTTGTGGTTGTTGTATTAACGGTTGGATTTTTCTTAAAATCTTATGTGTGTTGATCGATCACATTTTCGGGAATTTTCATGTTTTCTTGTTAAGTTGATCTCTCAGATGTATTATTATTATTATTATTGTTCCCTTGGGTTCCAAAGTGGAACATAGAGCTGACTTCAACAACACCACATCTCCACTTTGTTCTAGTTTCTGCTGTCCTCTGCATCTGGTTAGCCCGACGATTGCTCATAATCTCTCATCTCCTCCTCACATGATCTGTGCCATGTCACCCTCGTACTAAGCACCCACTCATCCGTCGCTTCCCATTTGGATTCCACTCGAGAAATGGATGGCCTGCATTGCGTGCGGTGTCATTCGACGGCCCCCCTCCTCAATGTATGCCCGACCAATACATCCCCACTTTCTCCTACATATTTGTTGAGCAATCAATCGGTTCTTGGTTGGTTGGTTGGTTTGTTCCCCTGTCAGTCCGTCATTCACAACACATTCCTTTACCAAGTCTCTGGTCTTCTACCGTTTCACTATGAATACACTTGGTAATAGGGATCAATTTGTTTAACCTACTTTATTTATTTTTATCACCAATGTGCAAACTTCACCTATCTAAATAAATATCATGTCCAGAGAGAAAAGT